AGTTTAATCTTTTTTTCAAAGCTAGGTGCTATTTATTTTATTTTTTTTATCTTCATCTGAGGACATTTTTTTCTTTTTTTTTTTCAAGAGAGAAAGTAAGGGAAGGAGAGAGATGGGGAGAGAAACATTGATGCAAGAGAAACAGCAATTGGTTGTCTCTCATACACATGCCCAACCAGGGACCAAAACTGCAACCTAGGCATGTGCCCTGACCTGGAATTGAACCCCTTTCAGGTCACAGGATGATGTTCCAACCAACTGAGCCACATAGGCCAGGGCTCAGTTTATCTTTTAACTTCATACTGTATAAAGTATGAATTGAATGAATATGAGGGAGAAACTTGGTGAATATTACTCTGAGTAGACATTGGAATTTGAATCTATTAGTAATATACCATCTTTATTCTATGAGATATCTTATTGCAAAATACATTCTCATTTGTCTCTTCAACTGCATTGTTCTTTCTCAAGGCAATGGCCTCTTCTTCAGTATCTTTGTGTCTCACCCTGGCTGATGTGGCTCAGTGAATTGAGTGCCAGCCTGCAAAACAAAGGGTCACCAGTTCTATTCCCAGTCAGGGCACATGTCTGGGTTGAGCAACAGGTCCCCAGCTGGGGGTGTGAGAGGCAACCACACATTGATTTTTCTCTCTCTTCTTCTCTCCCTTCCCTTCTCACTAGAAATAAATAAATAGAATCTTTACAAAAACATCTTTGTGTCTCTAATGTCTACTGCAGGAATCACTCAATATATATTTCAGGTTGTTGACCATGATTGCTTTGACACATTCCTTCTAGGTAAGGGTTCATATATTCTAATCTGTCAAGTCTCTTTCCTTCAAGTTCTAGAAAAAGAAGCTTTGGAATGTTAACTAGCATCCATCTGGAGGTAAATAACTGGATTCTCAAAGGTGTGTGTATAGCTGGTACATTTTAAACCAGTATCAGATTATGTTCCCACATACATCCTTCGTTTAAATGTGAATAAAAAAGGGGTGTAGTAATAACTCATAAATTCTCAGCTGGGGAGGTCATGGTGGGTAGTCACGCCTGCCCCAGACACAGAACTTCTTTAGTGAAAGGTATTAAAATAAGCCCTGTCCCTTGCTCTTCTGCACTGAGGTTCGCTCACCTTTGAGATGTCAGAATAATCCCCCTCAAAGGCATAACCACCCTTAAGAGAGCACATAACCTTGTTAACTATCCCACCTTACTTTCTCCAGTTTTCCATATATTCCCTCCTTAATTACAAATGCATAAAGGAAGCTGTAAAACTGTTATTCTCAGGAGCATCTGAGATCTTATTTCCTGGCATATGCTGTCAGTTTGGCTCAGATAAACTCATAAAAATTCTCTGGGGTTTGGATGTGTCTTACATCGACATAAATAAAGATGACACGTCCGAGATACAGTTTGTAGAAGTCAAACTTCCATCCACAGTGACATACACAGAGAGCTGCCTTTGAAAATGCATCTCACTGGAATGTCGTTCTAAATGAATATTAAGAAATGATCTGGAGAGCATTATGCTGAGTGAAATAAGCCAGGCAGTGAAAGACAAATTCCATATGATCTCACCTATAAGCGGAACCTAATCAACAAAACAAATAAGCGAACAAAATATAACCAGAGATGCAGAAATAAAGAACAAACTGACAGTACCAAAGGGGAAGGGGAAGAGGGATAATGGGAAAAAAGAGGAAGAGGGTCGTCAAGGAACCTGTCTAAAGGACCCAAGGACAAAGCCAAAGGAGGGTAGGATCAAGGGTGAGAAGTGGAGGGATGGGTGGGGTGAGGGAGTGGAGGGGGGAAATGGAGACATTGAACAGCAATAAAAAAAAGTCACCTAATTATGCATTATGCATGTAATTAGTGCTCCACAATTCTTTCAGTGATGTGGTGATAATGCATAATAAAAGTGTTATAAAAATGAAAAAAAGTCATGAAAAATTAAGAAAAAATATTTAGTATAGTAAAATTGACTCCACTATTGTTTAAAGAAACTTGGAAAATAAAACTTCACACTTGGCCAACTTGCCATGAAAATGCACTGAGGTAGCTCATTCTTCTCATCTCCTATAACTTCTGATCAAAAATCAATGCCTCTGTGACCTACAGATGTATTCATTTGCTTAAATTACAGATTGAGCTGTTCACAAAATTTAATGTTCTCACATGGATTCATTGGCTAATTTTAAAAAGCATGGATTTGAGGACTTTGCTGCCCTATTTAGTCACAAAAATTATCCTAAACTGAAAGATGTTCTGTGTTGCTTTACTCCCCTCTGCTGGTAAATTCTAAGATAGCTTTTTCTTAATTTTTAATTTTATTTTATTCTATTCTTAGAAGTCAAATTGATAGAAATAGCAATTGTGTTTTTTAAATGGTAAGAGAAAAACATGTTGAAAATGATGAAAAAATTATTCAATCTTTTCCTCAAATATTCTCTCAGTCTCAAATATTAAACATTGTTTTCTAGAACAAATTCTTGGTTTATATAATTTGTTTCTAGAGTCCAATTATTTCTTGCCCCACTTATATTTGATGCATGGTCAAGGAAATGGAGTCGCAGGAATAGAAAGGGTGTATTTAGGCATAAAAACTAAACTCATCTACAAATCGAAATAGTAGCGAACCACACCTTGTTTCTATGAATCCATTTACATCACAAAGCATTCTCATGTATGTATACCTCATTTATAGCAATATCACGGTATAGGTGTGCACATTCTAAAATATTAAACTTATTTTTCCTTAAAAAATGCAAAAAGGATCACTGTGTTGAGTTTCAGCTAAATTCTGATATGGACTCACTAATTGGGCACATCCAACAACGCTGTCTGCCATTTTTTCTCTAACTCCTATTTCCCAGGTGACCCATGTCTAATGCTATCGAGGCCTCCCTCAAGAAATGAAGTACTGGAAACAGTTATTCACAGTGTCTCACTGCTCAGAATAATTTATATTTTGAGAGAAAATCAGAACTAAAGCCAAAGCAACCTGCTCCTAACAGGAAATGACAGGTATTAATGAGGAAGACATTTTTAGACAGAAAAGTTTTCAATTACCACCCAGGTGAAAAAGGGGTGGCTTTTGAAACAAGGCTGTTTCCAAGGTCATCGGTGTCCCCCCACAGGAAAGGTGTCACCAATAGCATTGTGTGGTTTAGAGTGAGCTTGGATTTCGGAGCCAGGCAGATCCAGATTGGAATCCCAGTCCAGCCATTTGCTAGCTTAGGACCTTGTACACTTTTCTTAACCTTTTTGAGCCTCAGTTTTCTCATCTGTCAAATAGGGATAATACTCACTTCCCAAGGATGCTGTGGGGATTAGTGCTGGGTGAAAGGATAAAGTCAGCGCCATTTCCTAGGTGGCGCCATTTGCCCAGCAGGCCTATGACCTTGTTGAACATGACCGCCCTTTTACTCTTCTGAGTTTATGTCCCCAGGACTGGAAATTCCAGGAAAGCAAAAACTGCACTAACCACTCCCTACAGCCACAGGCAGAAGACAGCATTGAAACAAACTGCAGCCTGGTGTCACAACGCCCGACAGCCCAGAAGCCACACAGCAGCAACTCCCTCACCGACTTTTTTAACCCAATTATAATCCAGTAAAAGCTCAAATACCCTATCCCTCAATGCTGGTGCATATTTGCACACCAGCCCTTTCCCTGTGTTGTGAAAGTAAAATAAAACCATTTCTCTCTGCACATTTTTCTTTGTGAATTCTTTCACAGCCACCCTACCCTAACCACCAACCACCCTAACACTAGACATACTGTATACAGTAAGTGCTGTTTTCCTCTGCCTCTTCCCTTGATGAAGCTGCTCAGCTGGCAGAGTAATTTAAGTTTTGAAGAAGGTTAGGTAGTAACACCACTTGTGATTTTAATTATGAGATTGTATGGTTCTTTCCTAGGTAATTTTTCATAGGGTATTTCTAGGAAATAGTTCCAAATCAAGCCCATGGCTGCTTCACTCAGAATTCCTGTAGGTATCAAGGACTCTTCTGGATGTGAGATATCCACATAGTTTCACGTTTCTTTCTACTCTTTTCATGGGCTGTGAAGCCACTGTCTTTAGTTAACAATCACTTCTGCTCTGTGTGGTGCAGAGGAGCAGAATCTGCAGAGCTGTCCCTCCCTGCTGCATGATCCATGAAAGGACAGGTCATGCATGTGAGCCAATCAATATCATAGATCCAGGGGTCAGGTTCCCACATCCTGGAGAAACCATCAGCCCTCACTTGGCCCTTAGCCTGGCCTCATGTGTGAAGACGTCTCACTAACTGGTTCGATTATCGCCCACCTATTCTCTCTTCTTTTGTCTTCAGGGAAGGTTCCAAAGCATTCACAGCTCCCCAGCACATTGAGTTCCATAGAGACAGAATTCCATGAACACAGAAGGTAATTCAATGAATTTAAGATTGCTAGCAGAAGTTAGATGTATCCACCCCTCTTTTAGTTTGGGCCATAAAAATGTACTGAGGTAGTTCATTTTTCTCATCCTTTGTAAATTCTCATCAAAAGTCAAGGCATTAGTATTTTAAAGCTTCATACGTTCTGTGGATTATAGTGATGTACTTTACCGTCATGGCCTTTTCAATATTCTCTAATTGGCTTGACTGAGACTGGAATTCTCCTGTTTGTGGCATTATTGATGTCCACAGTAGGCACACAGAATAAACACACTAAACTCTTCAATGGATAGTTGCGAAGGTGGGGGTGGTCCCCAGAGCAACCATGTCAATCTAGCAGGGAAACGTCAATGCTGTCCTTTTCCCTTATATTAAGTGTTTGGAAGTGAGATTCAGGAGAGCATAGCTTTATTCTGAGGAATAGGGAGAAAGGATCATATTCCAAAGATCCTGGAACAGAGTATGGTTCAGTCATCCCTCGCTATATCTCAGTCCACTTATTGAGGCAATACATGAACCGCAATATAGCGAGGGATGACTGTATACTTCACTGGTGAGTATCCATGTAGAATTTTATATGTTGTTAAAATTACGTGGGCTTAAGAGTGTAGAAAGTGTTTAAGAGCATATGAAGTGTTTATAAGAGTGTGGGAAAAGTTAGTAAGAGAGTGGGAAAGGTTTATAGGGGTGTAGGAAGGGTTTATAAAGTTTTAAAATTTACATAAATAAAACAAATATAACACTGCTACGTCACGGATTTTCACCTATCTCGGGTGTCTCTGGAATGTGATTCTGGAGATGGGTGAGGGATCACTGTACTTCTTCTACACACAGGGTATGACACACAGGTAAAGACTTTCTTCCACCTTTCAGCATTTTATCCAGCTGTCAGAATTCCCTCAAGGCTCAGACTTTTGACTTTGTCCCAGTTACAAGTACCTGTAATAATAACACAGTGAACATTTTGAAATCTTCAATATTCTAGGCAAAATGCTCAGAATTTCATGTCATGTTATTCTCATAACAACTCTTTCAGGTGGATACTTTAATAATTTCCATTCTATGGATGAAGTATTAAGTTAGATAACTTTTGGCCCTGACTGGGTAGCTCAGTTGGTTAGGGCGTCGTCCCCATATGCCAAGGTTGTGGGTTTGATTCCTAGTCAGGGCACATACAAGGAACAAACAATGAATACATAAATAAGTGGAAAAACAAATCGATGTTTCTTTCTACCTCCCTCTCTCTCTAAAATCAATATTTTAAAAGTTGGATAACTTCCCATAATTAAGTGGTAAAGCTGAAATTTATGCCTTGGTCATTTGATTTCATTCCCCCTGGTGTCCATAAAAATTTACCACTTGGATTTCCTGGTTTAAGGAGCATAGCTGACAGCCGCAGATGCTGGTCCTCTGGATTCATCAAGGCATTTGCACCATGAGCTGTTCCCAGCCAATGGCTGTGGGTTCCTAGTGTTAGCCCATTCCTGTGGGAGATAAGATTCTTCCAACATGTGACTTCAAGTAAGGAGTTCCCCATCAACCCTGCCAAAATTTCTTAGAACTGTGCTGTAGTTGAGGTTATTCCTATCCATCTTCCTTCCTTCCTTCTTCCTGTTCACAGGTATCAGACCTGCTTCATGATCCAAAGATTCTCCCTGCCTACTCCTGCTTCTTTCCGTTTATCCTTTCACAAGCGCTTCCCATACATCTCTTGCACATCTAAGCATGTCTGGGCACTTGCTTCTTGGAGAATTCAAACAACACGCTACCCTTGCTAGAGTGGCATAAACCTCTCTATCCTTATCTGCTTACTTCAATGGTCAAGCAAGAATTGTCAGTGACATTTTAGACTGATGGACTGTACATCTTTGAAAGACCTTTCCTGATTTCAAACTATTAGTTTTCTCATAGCCACTCTATTTCCTCCATCTAATGAAAAAAAAAACACCAATAAACTACATATGGTCTACAACTGCGTCCAGATTTCTTAGATGGACCACAGGAAAGTCTGACCAAACCTTGGAGACAGTGTGAGTGCAGAATAGGAAGGCCCACCGAGTATAACAGCAGTCCTGGAGGGTGTTCCTAGTGAGTTACGTGAACGTAGTGCAGCGAGCACCAAAGCTCATTCATCAAATACCAACCAAGTACTCTGAAATAATGACACAAAAAAAATACTTCAGGAAACACTAAGAAGGGTAGCCTAATTCCCTCCTTATTGGTAAGTCCCAATTCGCAACGATGTATTAAAGGCCCCTAGAGGATCTGCGGCAAAGAAACTGGTATAAACCCCATTTATTTGATGAGGTATCTGCTTTTTAACGCCCCTCGGAACTAGGGCTCTGGAGTCCGTGCACGTAGCCGTGTTGGTATATAGGTTTCCCTGCTTCCTCTCCCCAAATCTAGTCTTCATTCTCAAGGGGTGTTGTTTGTTTGTTTACCCTATTGTGAGTGGTAACTGAAAGTTTTTCTCGTTGCTAGGGATTCCTCATTCATTCATTGAAAAAGGATTCAATGAGAACTTTAAGTTCCGGGCTACACTTTGTGGATGTAAATATGAACCTGGCTCCAGCCTTCTAAAGGCTGGACCTAGACCCAGAGCTCTTCTTAGACCTAGAGGAAGATAGGTAACGCCCAGGAGATCACTCAACAGGGGCCCTAAAATAATAACATCCCAGAAAATAGAGAACACCCCGATGCGATCGCCTGCTGATGTCTGGGAATGGAAAAGCAGCGAGGATGGAGGGACAAGAGCCGGATTTGTGCCGTTCCGTCGGTTAACGAGAAAACCAAGGTTTCAGCAATGGGTGGCCCTCGAGCCCGGTTCCTCCCCAGTCTCCAAACTCCAAATCCCACCCAATGGAACTTTTGTACTTGCCGCCTGCTGTCCCCCCTCACTCTATTCTCATAGTAGGTTTTCTTCGCTATATTTAACTACCTATGCGCTAAGATTTGAGAGTCACCACCAGTCTTCCAGGTATAAACCCGCTTCCGTTTCCGAAATTTCCACCAAAGTCCCTAGCTTAAGGTTGCTAAAATCAAGAGTTTGCGAACCTGGCTCTACTGAATCCAAGCCGGATTCCGTAGAAGCGGTTTGCCCTAAAGAAGGTCTTTAGCATCAGCAAAGTTCAGGGGAGGGGGTGGGGTGGGGTGGGGATTAGAATGAGGTGTCTATCGCATTTCCCCGAATATATTGTCTCAGGCGCAGGCCAAGTGTATTAAAGTACTCTTTATAAAGTATCTGCCTCTAAAAATATAGCTATGGAGGAGCAAGTAGAACTCACATCTCTTTTCATGCTTTTTAATTTTGCGCTCCACACCCTTCGCCCGCACCTCGCTAGACAGGCAGCTTCTGGCCACCCTCCGAGGGCCTGATTTTGAAAAGCGGAGCGGGCCAATCAGAGTGGAGCGCTGTTTGGCGCTGCCATTTGAGCCTGGGTAGAACTGAGGCGGAGACGGCCACCGTGGATCTGGTTGTGAGCAGGGGCGGTGGGGGCGGAGGCATGAGGAGAGCTTTTTGGCTTCAGTGAGCGCACGGGGACGTGCAGGCCGAGGGCCGCACGCAGGCTAATGGGGGAGGGAAGGAGCAGCCTGTGAAACGGGGTGACGGTGGTGACCAGCCCGGGCGGGGACCGGGACTGGAAGAGACGCTTAAGCAGCCGGCTGGTCCGGCGGCTGGGCTGGGGTCGCGGGTGTGGGGACAGAAGGACACAGTCAGTTGACCCTGCCGGGACTGGAGAGGCGAGAACAGTCGTCTTTACGCTTAGGAAAGACGAGGGCAAAATTAGGTTTGCAGGAAAGGGGCTCTTGAGCTGAAGGTGGGGAGAAGCTGGTGACGGGCGTGGCCGAAAGGATAAGGAAGGTCTGTGTAAGTCGTTGAAAGAAGGTCTGTGTTAAGTGAAGGAAAGGTGAGGCGTGGCTGGATCAAAGGGTTAAGGGAAGACGGTTGGTGGAGGAAAAAGAAGTGGAAGTGGCTGGGGTCCGGGGCCGAAACTACACCAGCAGTGACCGCAGCGCAGCGGAGCAGAGCGCAAACCTGAGAGTGTTCGGAAATTGGAAAACTTGGTGGAGAACGAGGTTCAGGGCTCAGATCCTGCCTCGGAGAGTGGGCGACGTATCCGGAATGTGGAATAAGAGGCTGGTGAGGCTGGCCTTGTTGCAGCACCTTCGGGCTGTCTATGGCATCAAGGTCAAAGGTGGCCGCGGGCAGTGCAATCGCAAGAGGAAAGAAACAGCAGCCACGGAAATAGTGGTAAGTTCTGGGAAATATTTGGGTTAGGGGAAAAAAAGAACACCTCCTGTACTGTCGTTACCAGAGCATGCCAAAATGGTCATTCTACGTGGCTCCAAGAGAATGTGGTTAAGTATGTCTAAGTCAACCCGAAGGACCACCTGCTGAAATTTAAAGAATGACATTTTTAAATTTTTTTACAGGGATTTTTGGTCATCGAGAGAAAGTTGCAGGATTTTTCAGTCTCAGCAGCTTGACATTTTGAGCTAGATAATGGGGGGCGGTGGCATATCTAGCTGTCCTGTGCACTATAGGCTGTTTAGCAGCATCTCTGACTTCTATCCACTAGATGCGAGTAGCACCTCCCAGTTGTGACAATTAAAAATATTTCCAAATATTGCCAAATTATTGTATTTTGAACAAGTCGCACATGAGAAGGGAGACAGACACTGGGCCACTGCCAAAGAGTACGATTTGAGGAGGGGAGAAGAGAGGGACCAGCACGTTTTCTAAATGAATCAGGTGGTGTGATAGAACATTAGGAATAAGCTTCAATTCAGATAATACCTCTGTATTCACCAGTTTGGAAAAACAACAACAACGTTGCAACTTGACTATATCATATTTTGAGACAAAGTTGTTTTTTTTTTAAATAAGCCAGAAGGAATGATTAAAAAGCTGTTGATTTCGGGTGGTTAGGGTAGGGGAATTTTGAATGAGATTTTTCTCTATTGCATCCTCAAGAATCTCATTAAGAAACAAATAGAATATAAAGAATTTTGTTTTAAACTTATTTGATCAATTATATGGTGCTTTCTAAGAAATTAGAGCTGAAAACTGATAAAATAACTTCATAGTGTTTATTTTCTGAAAGATAGTTTAAGTACCTGGAAAAGAAAACTTCTAGCAAATATAATTTGTATACCTCTTATAAATTCTGGAGAAATTGGTTTTGTTGTTTGCAACTTAATAGAAACATACTTGTTTGTATTTAAAAATGAACATTTTTTTTTCTGGTTGTAAAACAGGCTTTCCCAGATATCAAATATTGTTGGTTTTGTAAGTATATGAAAGAATTTGTATAAGGATTTCTTTTTAACTGTTAAGAAAACTGACGCTTGTGTGTAGATTCTGGTAGACCTGAGTTTGAATCCTGCTCTACCCCCACTACGTATGTGATCCTGGACTTCTTGTTTAATTTTCTTAAGTTTCAGATCCCCACTCTAGAAAGTGGGAATGATGGTACCTCTTCTTGGGTTGTTTAGAAAATATTAAGATCTATGGATAGAATTAGCACAATGCCTGTGACATGCCACTTAAACTGATGCTAATAAATGGTCTGCATCCTGATAGTCATGCTAGAAACACTAGTAACACATTCTGATAAAGAAATTCAGAAGACTAGTGTTATATTAACAGGATCTAACAAGATAGGTAATTGTTTGAAAACTAGCTTTCTTTAGTTCTTTGGTATTGGTTAGCTAGTCATAGTTTTGAGCTTTTTAAGAAAAGTACTGGAAATCTTTTAACGATGGTATTATAAATGATATTCTAATACATACAATTTAAAAAGCATGTTCTTTATTTTATGAGGTTAAATTTAGCTGTTGCTTTTGAAGCCAAGTATTAGAATAATGACACTTCAGGAAAAAAAACCCACCTGAATTCTACTTATGTATGACATTTGTAGACTTACAGTCAGCTTCAGCATCTGATTTATTTTTGCATTTTATTTGCTTTCATAGTATCAAGAAAATTTTGATTTACCCAAAAAAGGTGTTGCCCATACTAACATTTTTTAAAGAAGTTCACCTTGAAATGGTAATCGTAACAGTAGCAAATGTTCTTTGAATGCTTACTCAGTGTCAGACACCAATAAAAATGTTTTACATCTTTTAATTCTTTATATAACTATGACTTAGGACCTATGTTAGGATGTTGAGGCATAGAGAAGGATAATTTGATCAAGGTCACATGATAAGTGGAAGAGCCAGGATTTAAAATCTGGCAGTCCTGCCTCTAAAAGCTTGCTCTCTTAAACTCTGTATTGCACCTTTTTTTTCTATATTTGTCAGTTAAATGTGGAGCCAGATGCTTGAAAATGGACTAGTAAGATTTTGTTAGTCTGTTGAATCATTAACAATGCTGAATGGCTTCTTATTGTAAATATAAGGTTAATATAAGATGCTTTTAAAACTTATATAAGCGCTTCAAGATCATGCTTGGAGAGCAGGTGCATTTAAGCTAAATTAACACTTGTAAGATAAGGTATACCCACTTATTTAATTTTGTATAAGTAGACATATACAAGCTTTAATTATTTTCAGTTTAGTGAAAAGCTATAACCTTAATCAGTGACACATTGTTAAGTTGGAATGCCTGCACAAACATTGTGGCAAGGTATACACAAGCATGCAAGTTACCCAACATGTACAACTTTACCCTTAGGATCTTCAGTGTATTAAAATGTGAATAATTGGGTAATGCATTTCAATGTGACTGTTTAAAATGATTTTCAAAGTAGCTAAATGAAATTTGAATTAAATTTCAAGGCAGAATCCCTGCCTTGGGTATCTCAGAACATAGTTTGAGTAGCATTTTTACATGGAGTGTGAAAAAGATAATCAGCTGTGATTTTAGGAAGTACGTTAGCAATTGAGGGTGCTCCATAAGGTCAGTGTTTGTAAGGTTGCTGAAGGAACAGGTAGTACTTTGAGGGAAATGTTAGTGTTTTGGGACAAAGTCTGTTTAAGAATTTCCTTACTAAGCACTGGCTGGGTTGATTTTTCTATGGTGGCATTGGAAACCGATGGAGTTTACCACATCTCTTGAGGGCAGTGACTTTGTTTTTACCATCTCTGTACTCTTACCATCTAGCATAATATAGTTACTTTTCACCAAATGTGCTTAAAATAATTGCGTTTGTTGTCTTGACTGATAGTTCATTTCTGCTATCTTCTTCCCATCCCGAGGTTTTTAAATTTGCCTGGTGTTTAAGAAAACTTATATTCTGGTCATTATTTGTGTTAGAGGAACTAAATTTTGTCGTTTTAGGGTAAAATATTTGGAGTACCTTTGAATGCATTGCCCCATTCTCTTGTACCAGAATATGGACACATTCCAAGGTAAGTAAAGTTTGAAATGAAGAATAAATATTTCAAAGTGGTGTTTGACTCATACGTTTGTTTTGAACTAGCAAATGATTTCATTTCTCAATAGTAATGTAAAAAATTTCTTCAGACTTTTATGTATTTTAACTTTTTAATTTGTACTCATTCCCAGGATTGAATTTTAAGGTTTAGTAATGAATAAGTGCTAGAACACAAATTATTTTTGTTCTATCAAATTAGAGTTTTCATTTCTATACCATTTCCCCCCACAATTTTGGTTATTTATCAGCAATATGCTAATTTACCAATTCAACTATAGCATTGATGTTTTTGTGTGTTTTAGAACAGTTGGATAAAGGAATATTATGCTGAGGTGTTAGAGTATTTGTGAATATAAATTATTTAAAACTTGAGCCTTTCTATGTTGCTTACTATTTATAAGTAATCTTTTGAACTAACTGCATCAGAAATTACCTGGGAAGTTTACATCTTAAGAAAATAGTTTAAATGCGTATTAAGAAACTATTTTAACTCTTTCTAATTATGTTTTCCTATGTCCAAAGTCGGGTTTATTCTGGGTAGTGTATTCCGATTAACTAGGTTTTTAATTGATGCATTGTCCACAAGCATCTATTAAACACCTTGCTGCCTTAGAACATTTTCTCAGCCTGTAAGTGTAGATTCACAGTCTTCATAAGGCAACCACTTACTATTTTGCTTTTTAAATAATCTACAAAAGGTTTATTTATGATTTTCAACATTTAGAATTAGAAAGTCACGTTCTCAGTAATAATGACTGTATCTTTGTTGTAACTTCTTTTCCTGCTTTCAGCCACTCTGTGCCAGTGCAACTTTATCAGTTCCTTACAGCTGACATCCATTATCATTTGATGATACCAGCTGTTAACTAAGCATCTAAAGCTAACATAACTGTTAAAAATTGTTCAATATAAAAATTGAGCACACACTTTTAAATATGAAAAGGATTCTAAGAACTGGGATATATATGACTTCTCTAAGAGGTAATGGTGGAGTGACGGGGAAAAAACCTTCCCTTACTTTTGGGCAAATGCAGTAGATCATAGATACTTGAAGCTGTGTTTGCTGTGCAAGATCACACCTGGAGAGACAATGAAGGAAAGAAGGCCATAGGCCCAACTCTGGGTTATCGTAGAATGTGGAGGGCTTGCAGAAAAAGAGAATCCACAAAAGAAGTTTGAGAATAAGCTGTCAGGGAGTCAGCAGGAAAGCCAGAAGAGTGAAAAAACATTTTCAAGATGAGCTGAGAGTGGTCAAGTTATCAAATGCTGGTAGGACAAGCAAGATGAAGATAATGAATTGACCATGGATTTGTCAAGGCAGAGGCCATGGGCAACTCTGACAAGTGCTGTGTTGTTGGAGTGATGGGGGTGAGAGTCCAATTGGAGAGGGTGCAGTAGAGGCTGGGATAGGACAAAGTGGAGTAGTAGAGGCAGTGCGAAAGACAAATCCTGTGCTCCGGTGGGAGCAGGAAAATGGAGGACTGGGAAAGATGTAGGGCTGACTGGGTTCACTGAAGTTGTCATGGGTAATTAGGTAGGTCCTAGAGATGAATTCAGGGAGCAAGATATCACAGGTTAAAGAGATTTGTCGCCTCGGAGCTTCTAAAAGAGGTGTGGTGCCTGGTCTGCCCATGTACTTTGGCAGAATCGTAGGGCTTAGATGTGTACCTGGCCACCTGAAAAGATTTCTTTCTTTCAGTTTTCTCGTTGATGCTTGCACATCTCTAGAAGAGCATATTCATACAGAAGGGCTTTTCAGGAAATCAGGATCTGTTATTCGTCTAAAAGCTCTAAAGGTAAGCATATTTTTGAACTGTAATTTTTCTTTTGTACCACTTTTGGGTTTGGTTTTCACAATTGAACTATTTAGAAGTATTACATGAATTATTGACAGAAATGGAACTTGCAAATAGCTTTTCTCATGGCAAAAGAACTTTTTTTCCAAAAGAGAGTATATCATTTATATATTTTTTTCTAATTTTATTACGATATAATTCACAAAAACATTTAAGATGTACAACTTAATGTTTTGAGTTACAGCTACATTGTGAAATGATCACTACAATCAAGCTATTTATATAATGCTTTAAAAGTTTGGTTTCACATTCATGATCCTTGCTCCTATGCCTGAAAAAAACATTAAATTTTATTATTTTTAGCCTTCTAAAAAGTACTGATATATATTAAAACAAGAGTTCAGAGAAATTTATTGAATCTCTTTAGAGTATAAGAAAGGATATTTTATTTGCAGTATACTCTTAAGCCCCCAAATGCTCAAGATTACTTTCTTTATTTCAGGAAAAACTGGATCATGGTGACAGTGGCCTGTCCTCTGCACTGCCTTGTGATATTGCAGGACTTCTTAAGCAGTTTTTTAGGGAATTGCCAGAGCCCATTCTCCCAGCTGATTTGCATGAAGCACTTTTCAAAGCTCAAGAGTTAGGAACAGGGCAGAAGAATGAAGCTACGTTGTTACTCTCCTGTCTTATGCCTGACTGCACTGTTGATACAGTAAGATACTTCTTTAACTTCCTCAGGAATGTTTCTCTTCGGTAAGTAGTAATTAAAAGTCTTGGGAAGTGAGTTTAATTTCTCAGTTAGCTGGATTTATTCTTATAGATAATAAACTTCAGTTTTACTGTTTCTTCGCTGTGGTAGAGTGATAATTATGAATGCCTTAATAGCTTATTGGTGATTATAGGATTCATTGTTCACTGAATGGTTTCAGATTACTGTGTTTTTAAAATGTTTGTGTTTTGCTTTTCAAATTTGTCTCTTTTCCCTGCTGTCAGCGAGCCTGATTCTTCTAGACATAACTCCCTGCCTTCTAATACTTCAGATTTTCTTTGTGTGGGTTTGAAAATCAAACATGTTCAATTTGTATGGAAAAACAAAGCATGGACTTTGTGGTTTGCATAATTTTTATGATATATATGTATTTAAGCTGTATATTTCTGGCTGTCTTATTTCAAGCTGATTATTCAGATGGGCAGATAAAAGGTAACTGGATCTTGTGCTTGACTGATAAAGTAAGAGATCTTCAAAATGCACTTAATACATTATTTTAACTATTTTTATCTTTGGCGCCATCTCATAAATTATTTTTTTAATTTAAGGTGCAGTGAGAATAAGATGGATAGCAGCAATCTCGCAGTGATATTTGCACCAAACCTTCTTCAGACAAGTGGAGGACACGAAAAGATGTCTACCAACACAGAAAAAAAGCTACGGTTACAGGCTGCAGTGGTGCAGACTTTTATTGATTATGCATCCGATATTGGTAAGATGTAGTTGCATTATTATTCTTTAAGATTTTGTTTATTTATTTTTAGACAGAGGAGAAGGAAGGGAGAAAGAAAGGGGGAGACATGTCAATGTGTGGTTGCCTCTTGCATGCCCCTAACTGGATACCTGGCCTGCAATCCAGGCATGTGCCGTGACTGGGAATCGAACTGGTGACCCTTTGGTTTCCAGGCCTGTGCTCAATCCACTGAGCCATACCAGCCAGGACTGTGGTTGCATTATTAAGTAATGGGATTTGTTTAAATGAGGGAGATTCCCCACTTCCAAGAACTATTGGAAGTTACTATTAGACAACTATTAGAAAGTTGGTATGTCCTATTTAAGCATTTCAAGGGATAGTAGAGGAAAGATCTTATTGTGAACATTTTCCATTAGGGCACGTTCCTGATTTTATCCTGGAAAAGATACCGGCTATGTTGGGTGTTGAAGGTCTCTGTGCTACTCCATCACTGGAAGGCTTTGAAGAAGGCGAATATGAAACTCCTATTGACTATAAGAGAAAGCGAAGACAAAGTGTGGGAAGTAAGTAGCGGTAACATTCTGTTTTATGGAGCTACAGCAGTTTGCTTTTATCTGAAATGTGTTTGGACATAAAGAAGCAGAAGCCATGGTGTATACGTTTTTGGTGCTTACAACATAATTGGAAAGATGATATATACCTGTGAAAAGTAAATATGACAATATAATTTAATATTAAGTGCTTGATCTTAGCATAAACCAGGTTCAAATGGGAAAAGTTCCCAGGAATATAATGGTCAGGGACTCTTTTAAAAGGTTCAACTGAACCTTCTTGAAGAATAGGTAGAATCTAGGGGGATTCGGTAGAGGATCAGAGTACTTGTATTCTATTCTGGATAAGAAGGATGCTATGAAAAAAGATTTTTGTAAGGAAAAAGTAATCACTATGTAAAACAACCAGTGTGACTTGGTTGAAGTATTTGATATTTTGGTGAGTTTAATGTCAGGCTAAAGAATTAGACTATTAAGCGGGGCATTGGAGAACCATTGAAGGTTTATGAGTAGAGGCATAACATGATTAAAATATTTTAGAAAGTTACCTGGTGTGGAGAATTGAGACTTGGAGGAAGGGAGAACAATCACAAATGTGTGGCAATAATCCAGTTGTGAGATCGTGATTTTAAAGTGATATGAATTAGTTAGGAGTGTGAAATAAATAATGAACATTACCAGGGAAGAATCAAAAAGACCTGGAATGCCCCTGTGGTGAAATCAATTATAAGACTTTTTATCTCCTTGATGAAGAAGTCTGTGACTACACCTTCCCTAATTGTCTTAGAAATGTATTTTCAAGTGTCGGAACGAACTATTAACGAGGGCATTAGTTTTTTAATCTGTTGGTTCATGCGGCATTGTCTTCTGTTTCCTCTTCGTTTCCTTTGTAGGGTTCTCACGCCTTCTGCATCAGTTCCCAGGGCCACTGTAACCAAGTACCACAAACTAGGTGGCTGAGAACAAAACTTGAGTGCAACTGCACAGACTGTAATTACAAATGAGGTCACATTCACAAGCACTGGGACTTAAACATATCTTGGAGGACACAATTCAACCCATTAAACTTCCTACCCCAAATGTAGCTATTCTTAGGCACTGAATGTCCTTATTACCCTACTTCCCTTTATGATTTCATTTGCTCCTATAGTTTCAGTTTTCTCATCTAAATAGATGCACACTGGATCTCTGTCTTTCACTGTTGTCTCGCAAATTTCAGTTCCACTTTACTTATTTTTTAACAGTTTATACAAATTCTTTATTTAATAACAATTTTTTTGTTTGACCACATCAGTTCTGCTTCAGTAAAGAACTGCTAGATATATACCTTTGCTTCTGCTTTTCCTTGGTAGTTTAGGGTCAGCATTTTGACATGATCATTTTTACCTTCTTTAAAACTGATTCTACTTGAATTCCATTTTCTGTTAACAGTGCTGCTATTCTCTAATCACTTGGGCTCTAAGCCACTGATGCCTGACTCTTACTTTACTATCTATATTTGCACAGTCCTCAGGTTCTATAAGATTCTACCTGCAGTGTATCCTGCATCTTTTCTGTAAGCGTCTCCTTGGTTTCTCTGCCTCCTCTTTGAATGTGCCCTGCCATTGCTGTCAAAGCTGACATGCTTGATGTGTCACTCTAATCATGTGTCTCACACACACCCTCCAGGAACCTTCACTGATGAATGCTGATATTTTACCCTGGCATTAAAGGCAGCTTTAGCCTGCCTTTGTACTTTCTCGTCTCCTTTCTGCAATCTATGCTGTAGTCAAACTGCATCCTTATACTGTTTTCTAGACACTTTGTTCTTTTGCATATACTGTTTATTGATTTTACTTCCATCTACTCCTGTTCAAATTATATCCAGTTGTCAAAATTAAGCCTAAATGTCTTGTTAAGCAGGCTCCCGCCTCCTTTTTTTAGTATGGAAATTTCTTTGACATTCTTTAATATTCTAGACTCTAATAGTTTTTATCTGGTTTTATATTTATTCATTGTGTGTAACTTTTTTTTTCTTTTAGATTTTATTTATTTATCTTTAGAGGGGAAGGGAAGGAGAGAGGGAGAGAAACATCAGTGTATGGTTGCCTCTTGTGGGTTGCCTGCTGGGAACTGGCCTGCAACCCAGGCATGTGCCCTGACCAGGAATCGAACCACGATTTTCTGGTTCACAGGTCGGCACTCAGTCCACTGAGCTACACCAGCCAGGGCTGTGTGTAACTCTTTTACCTATTGTATTTAATGCTCTTTAAAGGTAGACACCATGTTTTACACATCATTGCCTCCAATCCAGAGTTTTGGTGGTTTTTTTGTTCGTTTGTTTTTGTTTTTGTTTGTTTACTGAATAGACAAACTACTGAATAAATACAGTAAGTTGAGTTACTGACATTTGTCTTAAACTCAGAGGTACTTTATTCAAACAGGTTATGATAGCATTTGTCAAGTGTCATAAAATACATCAATTTTATTAGCAACTTGAAACTGTTCAGGAGCTCCAAACCATCAGTGTTTATTTTATGCATAACTAGCCGCCCTTTTTTTGTGTCTGACTTTCAGATGCCTCATAAACATCATTGTGATCTGATTGCAATTGCCTTAAAGAATCTTTTTGCCTGGTTTTTAAATTGTGGGAAATTATAACAACATTTACCATTTGAACCATTTTTAAGTATACATTTCAGTAGTGTTCAGTACATTCCCATTATGCAACCAATCTCTAGAGTGTTTCTTTTTCTGTGTATTATGTGAGTTACTCTAACTTAATTTTATGTTAGATATGATGATTCTCAATAATTGCACTGTTCCAGAACCTATACAGAATTCCATGAGCAAATTCTTAAAATAAGTAAGAGGAACTTGGTCTCTCATAATTTTCCCATTTTTGCATATGTATGTGAGTGCGTATGCTCCTCTGCATCGTCTTGTGCTAACGAATGTCTTTTGTGGACTGTGACGCGGTGCTGAGCTGGTTTAATTAATATGATGCCGTTCTTAGTGTGGTACTCCCTGAAATACATGATAGTGAGCTCATGAGACTATTAAAGGGATTAGGACATCACTTTTCTTTTTCTCTAGAGAGATGGTCTGTACTTTCAGTGTGGCCCCTTAGGCAGGCAGGGCGGTTTTAGATTGTGGAGGGAACAGCTTGTCTCTCCATACTCCTGATGTTGCTGGTCTGTGTTATCTGCTGTGGCTGAGTCCGTTGCAGTCCTCTGGTTTGTACATATTTCACTTGAGGGTGTAAGATTTCTCAATACATAAATGAGCTATAGCTGAGCTTGAATTTAAGTAACTGTTTTGAGTGATATTTGGTGATTAATCAGTCAGATTTACATATTTAGAAGACTTGTGTTTCATTGTGACCGAAAATTAGGGGGCATATTTGTGCATGAAAATATTCCTGTTGAAATCACAATTTCCTAGTAGCTAAATTCAGTATATATTTTTGGCCTACATTATTGAGAATTCTTTGACCTCTTGACTGTTTCCTTTCCTTCCTAATATTTTTTCTTCATTATTTTTGTTTTGTAATGCTGTGCTTTCATGATTTCCCTACCTCTGTAAGCCATTTATTGTCTCAGTTTTCTAGATTTTGTTTTTTCTGCCCACCTCTTAAATGTTCCATTCTTCCGTACTTGATCTTCTTACTCTTTGTCCCTTTTTAAAATGATCTCATTCATTGTCCTTTTTAAAAACTACCATTTCTAGGCTGATGAATCTCAAATCTACTTCTCCAGCCTGGATTTCCTACAAATGCATTCATATCCGTCGCTGTGTCAGAGACATGTCTAACTCTTCCTTTTATAATCTCCTTTTTCTTTTGGTGGCACTCTTGTCTACTCAGTCATCAAAATCAGAATTTTATATTTATATTTAGAAAGTATACTATATTTACACTTTCCTCATCTTTACATCTCAGTAGTTACCAACTCTTGTAACATTCATCTCCTAAACACCTCTATTCCTGCCTCCATTCTCCCTGCTCCTTTCTCTGTTCAGACTTTCATCTCTTGTCTGGCTAGGTTCCATTCTTCCTTCGGGTTTCAAATATCACTTCCTCAGGGACACCTTGGACTCTCTAGTATAAATCTGTTGTTATATTTTAACTTCAGACCACTTAATCCATTTGTTATTATACATTTAGTATTTTCTTAGGCTATTTATTATTTGTTTCTCTCAGAGGGTAAGTTCTCTAAAGGCAAAGACTATGTCTGGTTTGGTCACTGTTGTATCTCTAATGCTGGTGGGTGCTTGACACATTGTAGGTACAAATTACATACTTGATTAATGACTTACTGACATACTTAGAAGAACCTTCAGCTAGTTTGCTTGCCTCCAAGGAAGCTTGCTGCCTTAGGTCTGTCTTTTAAACTGTGGCCAGAGTAATTTTTCTAAGATGCAGATCAGACAATTTTGCTCCCCTTTGCCTTCGGAGAAGTTCAAGTTTTTCTAAATGACAAACAGGCCCTGTTCTTTCTAATATAGAAGGCTTATCTCTTACCACGTCCAACTGCTCACTGTTTGTTTGCTCTAGCAACATTGACCTACTGGTTTCTAGTATGCATAAATCCTGTTCTACTTACATGCTATTCACCTAGCCCAAATAAGCACCCGCTAACCCTTCAGAACACAGGCAAGGTTTCACTTATCTTGCAAAGCTTTATCTCCTGTTGCAACTTCCTTCTACCTTCCTCAACAAGTAATGCTTTCCTCTTCTGTGCCTTTCTGTACATCATGAATATTTGTTTTACATTTCATTTGGTATTATCTATCTTTTTTGAGAGATATGAGAGTATAAGTGGAATGGAATATAAATATATCATTTAGTTTTTTCTATTTTGAAATAATTCATTTTAAATAACCTTAAGTTACCTTTAAAACATATAAGTTGATACAAATCTAGATGCTAGAAGTCCACAAATATCAACATGAAGTATTGGTGAAAGATAAGTAAATATTATCATTGATTGTATGATTACATGATTATGTATGCCTTGCATTTCAGATTTTGTCAGTGGAGCACTAAGTAAACTTAAATATAACAGAACACCCTCTATTACACCTCAACAAGAAAGAATCGGTAGGCATTATACATACTTATTTAAATGAAAATGTCTGAATTATTTTGGTTTAATCAAATTCAACATTATTTTCAATGGCGATACCATACTATAATACTATGCTATTATGTTAGTGTCTTGCTAATTACATTGGCTATAATGAAGCCAAAATTTGAAGTAAGAATTTCTTTTAATCTATTGTTACATCTTTAGTCTTCAAAATTATGCTTTTCTATTGTTTGTAAGTTAGATGTTATCGAACATGTGAAAATAACTCAATCATATTTTTATTTTAGAGCCTGAAGTTTATTAGTGTATGTTCCAGTTTTTTTTTTATTGTAGTTGGCTTATGGCTGAAATTATTTAGTCCAGTAACAGACAATATAACCATTTGTTTTGTTTTCCACATTAAATAAGTTAACAAATAGTTAAAATGAAGAGCAAAAACAATATTTAGATCAGTTTTTGTTTTAACTCCTTGGTTATGATTTTCTTCCCTGTGTTAATATTCTTTAATATGAATTACATGCAACTTTTAGTCTATTTGGTTTAAGTTAATACTGTGTTAAGAATCTTGCCTCTTTGCATCTTGCCTATATTTTATGGAATTGCAGGTATTAATTTAGTTTTATATAATATTTGCTAATGTAAACATATCATCTCATTCTTTGTTTAGCTCTAGGTAATAGCTTTGTAAGAATAAGTTTATAAAGCTCTTTTATTTGATCAACTTTGTGGAAGAAAAGATACATTGTTTTTTGTTTTGTTTTTTTTCTCCAGCCCAGCTGTCTGAGTCACCAGTGATTCTTACACCAAATGCTAAGCGTAAACTGCCAGTAGATTCTTACGGCTTCTCAAGCAAGAAAAGGAAGTCTATCAAGCACAATTTTAACTTTGAGTTGTTGCCAAGTAATCCCTTCAGTACCAGTTCTACACCAGTATCAGGTAGCAAATGTAAGTTACAAATTGGGTTGTAAATATTAACATAAGTGCCTATTCTGGGCAAAGCACTATTTCTAAAGTCCCCTAATTTTATTTATATTTTATTTGATTTTCTAAAGATTTTATTTACTTATTTTTAGATAGAGGGGAAGGCAGGGAGAGAAACATTGATGGGAGAAACATTGATCAGTTGCCTCTCATATGTGCCCAACTGGGAATAGAACCCCACAACCCAGGCATGTGCCCTGACCAGATATTGAACTGGTGACCTTTTGCTTTGTGGGACAATGCCCAACCTACTGAGCCACATTGGTCAGGGCAAGATCTCTACATTTTAAAATGGACACTGGTCAGTGTGATTAATGTGTGTGTGTTTTGTGGCCATGCCCACTGAAAGTTACGAGAAATAACTTGGAGGGACATGGAAGTTTGGTCTTCCGTGGATAGCACTGATGTTCAGGTTTTATGCAATCGAAATTCCTGAATTCTACTTTAGTTACTTCTGGATCTAGAGAAATAACTATATTGCTGTCTTCTGTTGACTTGAGGTTGCCAGAAGTTTGGTCATCTCTAAATCCAGAGTGAGGGTATTACCACTGGAGTAACCACTGCGGATTGCACTTTTTGGGGTAGGGGAGGTAATATTTTTAATGTTTTATGCCTGATTAGCTTTTATAAAAAGCTTTAAAAACTTTACTTATACTGTTCTTGTAGTGTGGTTTCCAGATCCCTTACCAGCCCAGCCATTTTCTTCCAAATGCACTACAAGTTCCTATTGTGGCCAAGCAGAGCGTCCAGAAAATAATATAACCATGTCAGTTTCAGTACCAGATTTTCGTTAATGTGGTCCAGGTTGAATTGGCTTCTTTAGCATGTGTAGACTACAGTTGGCTCATATGACCTTTACAGTCAACCCAAAATGAAATGAAACCATCACTAAGCCTGGGGTCCCCCATCTCATATTTATCTCACATTTAGTCAAAATGTGAGTGATCTCTGGTTCTTTTACATTTTTATTGGTTTCTGACAAAGTTAAGATTTCCATTTTGAATTCATAAGCTTGGTTATGAGTGCTTGAAAGCCTCTTTTTTGTTTCTATAAGTCTAAAAAATTTATATTTTCCTTGTTTGTTTTATAAAAAAAGTAAACAGAATAGCAGTTTGTTTTCTGGTCCTACATAGGTTCTCCATGGTTCATTAAAGTGTAATGATAAGAACTCTGAGGCCACGTCTGTAGCTTTTTCATTATTCAGAGGTTGAAGACTTCAACTTTTTAGAAGTAACTTTGTGTTTTCTTTACATTTAAAAAGCCTTTTCTACTTTGGAGGGCTTTTTCCAAATGGCACATGTGAAGCCTTTGCTTATTAGCATTATAGCATCTTCCCTAAGGAGGAACCTGTTGATTCTTTTCTCTAAGTTCCCCCAAAATAGGTTAAACATTCTTGTGTTATTGTAATATTAGTATAAGGCTGTTTAATCAGTGAATTGTCCTCAATTTTAATTAATTTATTTATCCTTTCTCAAGGACTTTTTCATTGCTTTGAGAGAGAGAGAGAAACATCGGCTGACTGCCTTTTTGTATGTGCCCCAACCAGGGATCTAACCTGTAACCTGGGTGTGTGCCCTGACCAGGTATCGAACCTGTGACCTTTTGGTCTATGGGAAAGTGCTCCAACCAACTGAGCTACACTGGCCAGGGCTTATTTAGTGGATTTTTTTCTAAATACAAAAATCAAAAAGTTCAACAACAAGTAATCCTATTTTAAACTCACCATTTTTCTTTGACCCTACTTTCCCAGGTATAATTTAACTGCAATATATATATTTTTTAATGTATAAAGGCAACAATATGAATTTAAAATCCATGAGTGTGGGGGCTCCACCTGCAGAGCTTCCCTGGGTCACTGTGGATGAGAATCACTCTACCAAGACATGATCTGCTTGGGGAGGAAAGGCTGACCAATCCTTCAGAGGAGAAAGGCCTTGACCCTCTGTCAACGAGCTTTTACTGAGTTTAGCTTGCATAGGGATGCGTATCAAAGAAAGGAGGTGTGGTTTACAGATAACATTTCTGGGGTCATGGGGGTCCCTTGAGTCAGAGTAGACAGGGTGATGCCAATCGGCTGTAAAACCTTGAAAAACAAACTTATTTTGTGTTTGGGCCCTTATTAAATTGAGGGCATTCTTACCAAAGCAGGCTTCACAGGACTTTATGCATTCTTTCTCAGGCCTGATCACCCCCAACCAGGAACTGCCGGTTGGGCACAGGGCTGCACCCCTCTTCAGCATTGTTTCAGGCCTTAATCAGGAGGAGGAAACAAGGCAGCCAAGAGATTAGGAGACTTTTTACAGATAGAATGAGGACTCAGGCTGTGATAAAGCCGAGGGGTGAGGGTCTTTTGTCCCTCCTCCATAACCCCCTAAGTCCTTCCCTGATGGCCCCTATGCAACTGCCTGTCTTAGGTTCCTTGAGGAATCTTACCCATCATCCATCCTCCAGGGGGGCCAAGCAGGGTGAAGTAAAGAAGGCAGAGGCTGCACCCCTGCTGGGAGGATAACTTCTGTATCCTTAGTGGCTTATGGTCCGAAGGTTCCTTAGCCGTGGGGCCTTTTCTCCTGTTGGTGGGGTTACAGCTCCTGAAACCAGGCAGGATGGTTCCCAACACATGAGTACCTATATGTAATTTCTTTCATATATATGTGATAGCTTTGCACTATGCCATGTATTCTGACTATGCCTGCTTGTTGTCACTGCAGCCTTAGAATGAAGCTACCTGTGTCACATTGGATATAGTATATTGGCCTCCAAAATTTCTTTAGTCAGAAGCACCCCAAGATCACTGTAATGGTTATTATAGTTATTTTTTTCTAGATATTTTTAAAGATTTTATATATTTTTAGAGAGAGGGGAAGAAAGAGAGAAAGAAAGACAGGAAGCAAAACATCAATGTGTGGTTACCTCTCACACGCCCCATACTAGGCACCTGGCCTGCAACCCAGGCATGTGCCCCGACTAGGAACTGAACTAGTGACACTTTGGTTCACAGGCCAGCCCTCAATCCACTGAGCCATGCCAGCCAGGGCTACAGTTATTAAATGGTTATTAAAACATGGGTGTCTCTGGGGACTTGTGTGAATTCTTTATTGATTCCAGTGATGAGTTAGGAGGGTTCATGTTTGTGGAGTGTACCTGGGAATGATTCAAATATAAGTCAAATGTATAGGGAGCTTCTGTTTATAACTATTTTACTGTAGTCAGTTTCATGATATCGTTTCAAATAACTTGTAACCAGCAGTTTTAAGCATGGATGAGGTATGTGTTACAAATCATTTTTTGCCAAAAATTATTGGACAAATTATACTAAAGTCGATGGACTGCAGTTGGTTAGCAGGTGCATACTTGATACTGAGATTTTAAATTGTTTTTCAATAGTTTATTTTTGGGAAAATTAATAGTGTTCTGTATCAAGTACTGTGCTGGACACTTTATATAAATTACAGTAATAGTTCTATGTGCCATAGAAATCCATGTTCAGAGCTTGAAGGTATGTAATAAGTAGCGGAACAAACTCAAGTCTATCTGTCAAGTCTATCTAATCTAAAGCTTGCTTTTACTCCGGTCTCCAGCAATGCCCGGTCCTCCCTTGTATTTCTAAATGAGTGTAAAGCACAATTCCAATGTGAAAGCAATGGTTAATGAGAACTTTCACTGGCATCTAAAAAGTAGAAAATTGATACTTCTTTTTTTTTTTTTTTTTAAGTTGAGTTGGGTTATTTGGCCCTTGAAATTTTGAAGCAGAAGTTATATGATTTTTACTGTGGCTCATGGGTAGAAATTAAGGCTTTAAGTCTAGTTGCTATTAACAGTAGTTTGTATTTTGAAAAAGAAAATAAGTATGTATGGTATATTACATGTGTTTATTTTTATAGTTCACCTTGATACAAGCCCAGAGGAGTCATCTCAGAGTTCCGTCTCTCCTGTGGCCATCAGTGGGAATCATTTGATCAGCACGGATGCGCCAAGGCGAAGTAAAAGGATTGCAGGCAAAACACTTTGCAGGTAATTTATCCAGGATATTATGTTTTCATTGGATAAATATTTAGTGTAGATAGTTACCTGTATTTTTTGGACCATAAGATGCACCTAGGTTTTAGAGGAGGAAAATAGGCAAAAAATTTTTGAAGCAAAAAATGTGTTAAAATATACTTACATAAATAACATAATATTTCACCAATGTAAATGTAAAGCTACATTCAGACTATAAGATGCACCCTCTATTTTACTCTCAAATCGTGGGGGCGGGGGTGCATCTTGTAGTCTGAAAAATAAGGTAATATAATATCTTGTGTTTATCCCAGGAATTATAATTAAAAATTTTTTCTCTGCCTTTATAGTTGTATTATTCGGCTGCCCTTTATGTATCCTCCAGGGAAAGATTCCTAATTTGAGTCATTTGCTTGCTTAAAGTCCTATTTCATGTTCTTGTGGGTAATTTTAAATTTGTGGTTATTTAAAAAGCTAGTTTACTCTGATGGTTCTGGTTTATAAGTGACTAAGTCTTGTGATAGATAGGAAAAATCATGTTTGCATGCAGATACAATATATGCAATATTCATATTGAATACCATACTCATATACAATATCTTAAAGCTTAACTGATTTTAGAAAATTATTACTCTTGAATTACTAGCAATATGATTTGCTGTGGACATTCTCAAATTTCCTTTTGCAAAAATTTCTTCAGTTTTTGTACTGTGAGCTGATATTTTTTAATTCCACTTTTTAGGGTGGAATCAGAAAAAGCAGGTTGCTTCTCTCCTAAAATCAGTCGTACAGAAAAGGTTCGAAGATCTCTTCGTTTGAAATTTAGTCTGGGGAGAAGTAGCAAAGATGTAGTAAGTTGCCTTTCACTATTTCATTGACGTTCATCTTAGCATAAAGCCGTATACGTGATGCTAAAAGACCCTCTCAACCCTGCTTCCCCTCCAGCTACTTTCTCATTCTCTAGTCCTCTGTATCCCAACCTCTCACACTTGCATATCTCCAACCCTCCTTGTCTGCTCTGCTTCAGCCACTTTCCGTGAGGCTTTCATCCCCAGCACTAACGGTGACTGTTCTCATCCAGGTCACTCATGATTTCATCGCCACTGGACAAATAACAGTCCTTGATCGACTCCACTTGCCAGCCACATTTGTCCTAGCTGATCACTTCCTCCTCTTGAATGTACTTTCCTTGCTTCAAGGACAGTGCACTCTCATGCTTTGTTGGTTACTTTTCTAATTTTTTTGCACTGGAGTGCACAAAGGCTCATCCCTGGACTTCTCTTTTTTCTCTCTTCACTCGTTCAAACGTGATCATCAGTTTTAAACATCACATATGTACTTCAGACTTCTAAGTTTCTATCTCCAGCCCAGAATGTTCTCCCTAAGAAGTTGGTTGTTTCTTAATGTCTGCCTACTTGACCTCCCTACTTGGATGTTGGCCCAGTAGACATCTCGAGTGTAACCTGTCCCAAACAGCTCTAAGATGCATTTCTTCACTGCCTCTATTTCTCTGCTCCTCCCCCTTCCCCTCAACCACACTTCTACCTGCAATCTTTACCTTCTCAGTTATGGTCAAAAACCATGCAGGCATTCTTGACTTACCACTTTCTCTTGCATGCCCTGCCTCTACCATTAGGGAATCCTATCTAACTTTTGTTTTCCTACTATATTTAGACCAATTATCAGCAGTACTACATTTCTAACTTTCTCTAAGTCCTATTGTCTCAAACTTGGATTACTGCAATAAGTTTCTACGAGTAGATCTACTTGCTTATACCTTTCTGCAGTATGCTGGCGAAAATTATCCTTTTAAAACCCAAGTGAAGTCATGTCACTTTTTTATTCAGAACCCTCCAGTGATGCTTCATTTCACTCTGGAAAAAAAATTTTCTTCCATCAACTGCAGCCCTGCCCCTGACCTATCCTCAGTCCCCCCTCTCCAAGCTCTCCTCCTGCCACGGCCCCTTGCTCAGTCGGGTGCATCCATTCTTGCCTCTTTGTCCAATATGCCAGACCTGGCTTCAGCCTTAGCAGCTGCACTGGTGCTTTTCTATCCCCAGAATGTTTTTCCTCTTATATGTTCATGGCTTTCATCCACATTTTTCTTTACTCACAAAATTATCTTCTTATGATCACTATGTTTAAAGTTATACCCCCACTTTTTATCACTTCATATTCTTTTTACCCTACTTTACTACTTTCTATCTTTTTACCACTTTACCAGTTTTCATCTTTTATATCAGCAATCCCCAACCTTTTTGGCACCAGGGACCAATGGGGGAGGGGGCGCAGGAGGCGGAGCTCATGTGGGCTTTACTCATATATGAGTTCTAACAGGCCATTACTGGTCTGCGGCTGGGGGTTGGAGAGCCCTGTTTTATATTACACAGTATAATGGATTGCTTATTTCGTTTTGGTCTTAATCTTTCCACTTAGCATATAAATTCCATGAAGGTAAGATTTTGGGCTTGGGTTACATTTGTTTTTCTTTTTTCTTCACTGTTATGAATAGGCTTTGGCACAGATTCAACATACCATAAGTTATTTTCCAACTTAATGAATATGTGAGACTATTTTTTATTTTGGATTGTAAAATCAACTAATAGCCAAATACTTACAACTTATCAGCATGTAAATGAATATATTTGTGTTTGCTATAAAATTGTTTCTTGATCAAATGTATTACTTTTAATTGACTATAGAGGATTTTGATAACTGTAAAATTTAACTTGTCTTAATATTTGGAAAATCAACTGATTTATTTTTTTTAACCAAAACTTTTCATTTCTTTTTGCCTGTGCAGAATGGGTATTCTGGTGTCAATAGACATGAAAATGTTGGTCGAAGACTTGCAAATCAACAAAGTTTAAAAAATAGGATTGAATATGTAAAAACAGGTCTGCTTTTTAGCCCAGACATTGATGAAAGATTAACAAAGAAAGGTAAAGGTACATTTACATGATGTTAGAGTTTTATTCAAAAGGCCTACTTTTTAGTTGCTTTTTTAAAAAAGAATTATAACTTTATTGAAATAAAATTGATACATAACCTTTAGTTGCTTTGTTAATGATAAAATGCATTAAGTAATTTACTATTCTAGAAATTTGATATTCATGTTATAATATCTGAACCGGCAGTGTATATTTTGTGAACTATTGGAGGATGCTTAAAATATGAAAATGTTTGACAAAGATTTTTACCACAAATTTTTAATTTGTTGTAATTACATACTTAGTACCTTATTTACCATGTATTTGGATAATATTTCAAAACTAGGTCAAATATAAAATATTAAAAACCCTGAACTGCTTTATTTTAGGTTCAAAAAAGATCAGTAAGTCTGAGGAAAACTTACTAACTCCAGAGCAGCCAGATGGAACACGCTACCGAATGTCTTGGACAGGACCTAATCATTCAAGTTTTCAAGAAATAGAAGCAAATGGAGCTTCTCTGGTAGAGGGAGGTCTTGAAGTGGAAAACTCCTGTTTGGAGCCTGATATTGTGATGGAAAAGTCATCTGTTAGTACATATGAACTGAGCCCTTCTAATGCACACAATAAGCATAGTAACAACGCAAGCTCTCTTAGTGGGGATGAAAATAATTTGAGTGCAGAGACTTTGGGGAGAATTCAGAAAGCATTTTCTGAATCTGGAAGTAATCTTCATGCATTGATCGATCACAGGCAGTCATCAATAACTGATAGGGGGAAAGAAAAATTAAATGAAATACCTTCTATAGCAGACGGCCCAGGGAAAACTCTCTTTAAAACTCATGATTTGACTGTGATAAAATCAAGTCAACACCACACTAGTAAAAGTGAAAACAGTGTTTCAGAAAGAGACTTTTCACTACATAAAACTCAAAATTTAGGTGGAGAAGCACCTGTAAGATATTACCCAACTGAGGTGAAGGCGGAACATGATGGAAACATTCATTCAGATATACCAAATGATTATTTAAGGAAGCAAGAATTGCCCAGTGATGAACAAATAAAAACACAACAGTGCCCGGGGGACGAACTAGATAATGAATTGAAGGAGGAGAGTGTGATGGAAGAGAACTTCCCAAAATGCACCACTTCTAGAGAGGATGCAGCTCGCGCCTCTTCCTCAGAGCAGATTGCGTATAATGTGACCAAGCTGTCGAAGCCCAGGCCCGGGAGAGTGGTTAAACAGCTCTCACTGGTGGAGACATGCGGCACGACAGTTTATAAAGCTGTGCAAGTAACAGAGCCGGGTAAGGTTTCAGACCACATACAGTGGTTTAACAAGCTTTCTTTAAATGAGCCAAATAGGACAAAAGTTAAATCACCCCTGAAGTTGCAGCGCACGCCTGTCCGTCAGTCTGTCAGAAGAATTACTTCTTTGTTAGAGCATAACAGACAACCCATAAGGCATAAACCGGCACATCTTGACGATGCCGCTCCTCTTCTGGTTAAAGCAGTGAGCTGTGACGGAGCTTTTTCCTCTTGTGTAGAAAGTGCACAAGATTCCTTGATTTCGTGTAATCAAGCAGGTCCAAGAGGACGGAAGTCTGTGTCACGGGAGCAGTCAGATGTTGAGGCAGTTTCAAAATCAAGCGTGGAATTAACTTCTAAATCTTTCCCACAGATGAAGAGGCACCCAGACTCCACGCATGTTTTCCTTGGGCCAACCAGAGTTTATACAGAGAAAGTGATGTCTGATGGGCAGGTTAAGGTTCCCTTGGAGGATCTGACAAATCATGATGTATTAAAACCTGTTGTAAATAATAATGTGGGCTTTTCTTGTGAGATAAATGACAGGGTCCTTAGGAAACTGTCAGAAAAAGAAAGGGTCTCATATAAAGGTTCTCCCAAAAATCCTTTAGGAAAAGTTAAACTACTACCAACAAGTAAACCTGTAGACTTGTAATTGGTGAATGTTATGCTTGTCATTAATGTAAATAAAATCAGCCATTAGTGATGTGCTTGTAAGGTAATCTACATGTCAATTTGTAGCTCAGGATGATACGTGATAGATTTATTTTTTAAAGATTTTATTTATTTTGGGGGTGGGGAGAAAGAGGGAAAGAAAAATCAATGTGTACTTGCCTCTTGCGTGCCCCCAACTGGGGACCTGACCTGCAACCCAGGCATGTACCCTGACTGGGATTTGAACTGGTGACCCTCTGGTTCACAGGGAGACACTCAATCCACTGAGCCACACTAGCCAGGGCCAGATTTTTCATTTCACTGCACAAGCAATTTACATTCTTGTGTTTGTATGAATGACTACTTTAGTTTCCTTGATTATGGCAATATTTAAAACTTTAGTTTTATTATGATCTCTTAAAACAGGTTACATTTTTTAAAAAGAAATTGTTGACTGGGTTTATAAAAAATTGGGTTTTTTAAATTGCATAAATTTTATTTCATAAGTGTGATAGGAAGAGTAGAATGAGTTGTGTCTATTTCCTGTTATTCCTCCTAAGTCACTTAATGTTTTTACAAGACATTTCTAACATATCAAGGGAATAGATAAGTCTTGCAAATCTTTCTCTTTTTTTTAACCCTTAACTGAGGACATGCTTATTGATTTTAGAGAGAGGGAGAGAGACATTGATAGGCTGCCTCTTGTATGAGCCTCAGTGGGATGGAATCCACAGCCCAGGCTTATGCCCTGATGGTATCAAACCCACAACCTTTCAGTTTATGGGCAATACTCCAACCAACTAAGCTGCACTGGCCAGGGCACAAATCTGTAATTCAAATTAATTTCTTAAATTACATTAATGTTTATTGCCTTTACCCAGACACCTAGAAATTAACTTGTTTCAGTAGCATCTCAATCCTTTATTCCTTTTGGGACTGAGTCATTAGGTTTCTGGTGCCCATAGATGCGTACAGGGGGTCACTTCAGAATAATGGCTAAAGTAGAGCAGTGACTCGAGTGTGCTTGTGTAGTGTGGTGCTGCAGGAACGAGTGATGACTTTTAAGCCATACTGTATTTTTTAAAGTTAATTTGCACAAATACATTTGTGTCTGTTTTGTCCCATGTAGAATTTAAAAATGAGGAATAACTAAGCTTGAAAAAATTAATCAAGGTGATTTCTTATATGCAGATGCTTGATTCTAGACTTTGAAAGAGTTGATCCACCTCCACATTTTCCTTGGATTCTTGTACTTTGGATTTTTCTAAAAGCCAATGGTGGTTTTGTCTTGTGTGTACATGTTATTTATTTAGCATAGAGATTAAAGATAATTTTCTGAAAAACTACTTGCCTGAGACTAATGAAATTCAAAATACCTTTTAGAATTTGATGCAAATTGTCAAGTAAAACTGTTTATATTTCAAGTTATCAGAAATTACAAATGCTTCAGGAAGAAATAGAGTATATTCTGAGTTTTACAGGAAGGGATTTGCAGGCAGAATCAACCACTGAAAGTAGTTTTGTGGGTCAGCTGTTAGAATGTCACATTCAGATGTGGGGCCAGCACAGAACAGCACTGCACACCCACTCAGAGCAACCAGACTTCGTCGTGTGATGTACGAGGACCTTAAAGTCATCAGATGTTTGCTTTACCACGTTCTACATGGTAGAAATAAGACATCTCTTATTTCGAAGATATTTCCTGTCTCTATATTCATTACCTAGGAATCAACCCTTTCTCTGAACTAGTAAGTAATTGACATATAAGGATTGTAAAAACCTGTAGGTATAAACGTAATAAACACTATGACATCAAAACAGGTTTGTACTGTTTACTGGGCATTCATTTCAAATGTTTATGGTATTTCTCTAATAGTAGAGGTCGAAAATATAAGCTTTGAGATATGTTGACTTTCTGAAAGAAATTTTTTTAAACCCCAAATTTCATTAATGTCCTTTTATAACCATGGGGGATGGGCCAAATGTTGAATTGGAAGACAAATTTAGAAAGAAGACATGGGAAATGAACCATACAAATTACCTGAATTAGTGGCTTTTCTGAGAGATGAATTGATAATGAGTGATACTTATTTAAAAAAATATACCCGTATGTCATTCCCATTTTCATTAGCTGAAAGTGAACAGCTTGGTGGTATGGTAATTGGAAGAAGTTGGGAAAGTTGAGTTTTAGACTTGATTTAATTTACATTTTTTATTTTTTTATGCAAAATAATGTTCCTAAACTCCTGGGGATATTTGATCAAATGATAAGCATTACCAAAGTCAAAATTGTCAGGATATGTGCAGTAAAATTAAAAGATTACTTTCACTGTTCTTATAAGTAAAGATGTTAATTTGCATATTATGAGAAACAATACAATTACATTGAACTAAGTGGGTTGCTTGGCAACATCCTATAATCACTTAAGAATTTAATATAGGATTTTCATAATTATCAAGTCCAAGATACATGTGGTAGATGTTTTTAAAATACTTCATGTACAGTGTTCATATTTTGGTGTATTTCAACCAAATTTCCATTCATCACAACAGCAGTAAATCTGAACAGCTTTTCCATTTTCCCAAGGTCAAAATGAAGGTAACAGTGAGCAATGTGAAAGTAAAGCTCAGAATTGAAAAACCCCCTCATATGTGCATCATAATATTAAGTCCCAGCTTGGTCTTTGAACCTAGAACCAATGGACTGCACTGTTGCTTGAGCAAACCCTGAAACAAAAGCTGGAAACGAGCATCCGTCCCTGCGAGAAAAGGCTGGGAAGGAGACTCGGCCTCAGACCCAGGCAGTGTGTCTCGGTGCATTTCTGTGCCTCAGACCCAGGCAGCGTGTCTCGGTGCATTTCCGTGCCTCAGACCCAGGCAGCGTGTCTCGGTGCATTTCCGTGCCTCAGACCCAGGCAGTGTGTCTCGGTGCATTTCTGTGCCTCAGACCCAGGCAGTGTGTCTCGGTGCATTTCCGTGCCTCAGACCCAGGCAGTGTGTCTCGGTGCATTTCCGTGCCTCAGACCCAGGCAGCGTGTCTCGGTGCATTTCCGTGCACCTCTGCGCTGTGTACCATTGCCGTGGGTGCCCACAGGCTTGCTGCGTAGAGCCGGGTTGAGGCAACCTGGACCCTAACAAGTTACTCATTATTCTCACCCCCAGGTGCTCGGGTCCTCTCCGGTCTTAAAGGAAATTTGCAACACTACATTGTGCAGTTTTACATTTCAGTTTTTGTGTTTGGGCAAAATTAAAATATAGAATTTTGCCCAAAATTATAGATCACTATAATTTTAGGTCACTCTTAAGTTTTTATAGATCACTCTAGAGATCACTTTTTAAAAACTTAAAATTCTGGGTCTACCCAGATGAATTTCTGCAGTGTGTTGGGAGTATAGTTTCTCTTGAGGCCAAAGGAATTTTACCTGGTAAGTTGGTGTGGAAGTGGAGAATTAACACTCAGAACTCATTCCTAGAAGTGTTCCCACATTCGAGGTGTTTAATAGAAGTTGCTAGCATTTTGTAATATTTAGCCTCAGTTTCCCTGCTCAATGAAAGCTTCTGAAAGCACCCTTAGGATATGCCCTATAATTGCCATCATTAAATGTTCTTAGGACCTCTTCATATTTTGTTTCTCCTACCATGGTCTCATTCCCTCTGTCCTCTTAAAGCCGAAAGACTAAAAAAATAATAATAATAAAAAATAAAAAACTGGAAGGTGGGAGAATTAAAGATGGACTATTGGGCGCAGAGTACACAGTGGCGACTGGTACACGGTTTAGATACTTGCTTGAGGAAAGGGGTCGGTGGAGCGGAGGATCCGTAGGAGACCAGCAGCACCAGCATCTGGGGGCTCTGCGGGGAGTGCTTGTGGGGCGGCCGCAACCTGCTGCGGGAGGGGCCGGGGCGGAGCTAAGATGCGGAGGTGACGCACCGGAGACTAGGATTTCTGCTCCCGCCGACCCCCAGCAAGGCCCAGACCCACCGCAGGCGCCCGCCCCTTGGTGAGTCCAGCGCGGAAGCCGGCTCGACCTCCTGAGACCCAGGCTAGACGCGGGGGGTTCTTCGGGGTTGGGAGTCAGGAAGGGCGTCCCGAAACCTCTGAGCTGGAGGCTGGGGGCAGACAAAGGATGGGTGCGGATTAGGAGGTTCGGCTACAGATACGAGGTACAGTACCCAAGGAGGAGATTGTGTAGCTCATCAGATCAGAACTCTGTTGGCTGGAGATGTAAATGAAGCAGCAAGACATCCTGCCTTCAGTGCAGAGGAGGCAAAGATGGAGAGGGCTGGACGCTGGCGCCGCTGCGGGCCTTCTCCGTCAGAAGCAGGCTTTGCCCTTTGGGGGACGAGGTTTTGTATGCAGGGGTGGCTAGAAAAGGCCTTTTTCTATACAGAAAAAGGTATTAGGGGTTACGAGTATTGCAGTCTCAGGGAAGAAAATGCGTGGAAGAATGGTCAGAAGCGTGGACCAGACAGAAGCCGCAGCGGGTCACTGCATGAATGTTTGTCCCCTTGTTCTGCAGGCGTCTGGCTTTACAGAAGCTAACACTTAGGACGGTAACTCCCCAGGCTAGTTTTCGCCCTCTCTTACACCTGTCAGTCTTCACTCTCATCACTTGCTTCCCCAAATTCTAACCCCAGAACCACAAAGTAATACTGCCAACATAATGATAGCAGCGTGGGCGCTCCGCCTGGCATGATTCTGACCTCCTGACGGGTATTCCCACGCACCTGTTTGCAAGAATCCTGCAAGACACTTGCTTTTCTAATCCCCGTTTTGCAGAGGAGAAAGCTGCGACTTTTGCCCAAATCACCCAGCCAGCACGTGGCGAGCAAGCAGGCCTCCTCCACCGGTGCAGCCTGCGGGGCAGACAGAGCTGTGTGGGGTTGCAGTCCCCGCAGGATCTCAAATGCATTGATACTGGGCGTCTGCTGAGCTAACATATCCCTCCGCCACTTTAACCCTTCTGTGATTTTTTACTTCTGGTGTCTCCCTAACTCCTTCCTGTGAGCCTTCCCCGCCTTCCCATCCTGGCGGGAGACTTAGGAAAACTCAAGATGTCCCTCTCCCTTCCTCAAAATTGAAACCAGTTTTTGTTGTTATTGCTGTTTTTGTAAGAAAGGAACAGAGTGGTGGGGTTAGGGGTGATGCATAACTCCCAGGTTGCTGCAAAGAGGGTAAAAACTGGCCGAGAGCTACCCTTCCAGCCTGGTCTTCCCCCCAGTGAAAGAACAGAAGGAATCGGGTCACTCCAGCTGTTTTGTTGTTTTTAACACCTTCCCACAGCAGGTGTCCTGGCTGCAGTAGGTATTTAAGGCAAAAGCAGTCCCCTAGGTGTGCCATCCCTTTCTGGGTGGTCCTCGAATTAGTCCCTTGTGTGATTGCGTCATCACAGTTGCCAACTGTGGCCCATCGATATAATTTGGTCTTACTTCTGCAGGTTAAAAATGGTCTCCAGGATGGTCTGCACCGTGCTATCTGGACTAATGTTTTGGCTGACATTTGGGTGGACCGCAACCTCTGCTTATAGCCCAAGAACCCCTGACCGGGTCTCGGAAACAGACATTCAGAGGCTGCTCCACGGTGTTATGGAGCAGCTGGGCATTGCCAGGCCACGGGTAGAGTACCCGGCTCACCAGGCCATGAACCTCGTGGGCCCGCAGAGCATTGAAGGTATTTACCGTGTTCTGCCACTTTGAACTTTCCATTAGTATTTAATTAATACATAGTGAAGGAAAGCTCCTTTCTCTCTCTGTTTTCTCTTCTCACCCTGCACAGGATGTACCTCCTCAGGAGCATGTAAGCCCTGTGAGAGCAGGGACCTTGTCTGTCTGATCGGCAGCTGTAGGCCTAGCACCCAATGCAAAGCCTGGTATTTTCATGTTTATTGATTGCATGAAGGAGAATCTGGTGTTATGTCTGAAGGTTAGAGGCCAGCCCCACTTCTCCTCCCACAGTGGTCTTCGGGAAATTGTGTCCCCAGCTGGCGGTGTCTGAGTTGCTGATGGCCAGGACTTGTAAAAGATCCTCAGAATGGAGATGTATAGGATCTGATTTAATTCTTAGGGATGATTTCATATAAGAACCAAAAGACATACTGGCATTAAGAGTTTATGTCCTAAACTGTTGAAAAATATTAAAAAATGTAACAAACGTCAATTAACAAACGTCTTTTCATGGAGCCAGGCCATTTCTTCCCAGAAGTTTTCTTACTTTCTGTCGATGTGGTTGTAATACTTTCATTAAAAAGCAGCACTTTGACTTTACGAATCCAGGTGGCCCAGATGGTTGGAGCAGTGTCCTGTACACCAAAAGTTTGCAGGTTCAATCCCCAGTCAGGGCACCTACTACCTAGGCTGTGGGGTTGATTCCTGGTTGGGGCAGGCAGCTGATCGGGGATTCTCTCTCTCTCTCTCTCTCTCTCTCTCTCCCTTCCTCTCCCTCTCAAATCTATGAACCTATCCTTGGGGGAGGACTAAAAAAAGGCGGCACTCTGTTGTTAGTGATTTATCCATCGAGAGGATCTGAAGGCAGCTCTGAGGAGCTGGTGCCAGCTGCTCCAGCTGCTCCTCCGCGCAGGTCCCTTACGGCCAGCCCTGCCGTGCGTCCTCTCTGCACAGGGATGATCTCCTCCTCGGCTGCGGTGGGCCCCACGGCGGGAGCGTGGTTCGTGCAGGTCAGCTGCAGGGGCACTTTACGGCTTCACCCACAGGAGTGGGTCCTAAGGAAAAACGCAAATTCTTTCCCTGAGTTTTGTTAAAACGTGCATGGGGGGGGGGGGGGTAAGGGGATAGATGGT